ATTAAAAATTAAAAACAATAAACTATTGTCAAAACATACACCACTAAACCAAACCAAAAAAATCATCAACGATAAACAATAATGGGTACTTGCGAGAGTACTTCTGGAGATTAGATCACTACCAATACAATTTGGATGAAAGAGAGTGGATGGTTGGAGTGGGTAAGTCCAGTGGGTCTCCAAATTATGTCGTGCGTCGCTGAAAAAGATCTGTCCATTGTTAGAGTCTGCATAGAGAGATGAGAGACTAAGGAGAATGATAATAATTTTTGAGAAACTAAAAGATGTGAGACGGTTAATGGAGAAAGAGAAAGAGTTTGGGCTGTCTATTAGACAAAATGGGTAGCATGTGGGTGTAATTAAATTGCGTGAGATTCAAGGGTGGAACCACCCTTGGACAAGGGTGGGCACGTACCCCTCTCAATTTTTTTTTTTTTGACATTAGATATATATTTTTTAAAATAAAATTTAGATATATTTAATTGTGTTCACCCTCAATTTTTTTACAATAAATATATATTTTTTAAAATAAAATTTATATATATTTAATTGTGTCCACCTTATTATTTTATTATTGTGATATCGATTAAGACAGACGACTACTTAAATAATAATGTTATTGAAACTAATACATTATGATATTAAATCTAATAGTGAGTCCCTACATTTAATAACATCTACTATTCATCCAATGGTCACAAACTATTAGGTTCCTACTAATTAAATTTTGAATTTTTTGTTTTAGTTAAGATATAAAATTAAATTTCGAATTAGAAGAAATTACTATTATTCTTAATTTTTTAGACACAGACATGTCCGAATAATTTTTAAACATATCACGTTCATTTTTCTAATTATAGAATTATTTTATTATTGTATAGAAATTAGCGTCATAATATAATAAATTACAGGGTAATAAATGAAAGACTGTTATTACCATTTTGTATATAGAAAAAAAGTATTTATTGATATCATTGATTTGTAATTCTTTTAAATGATAAACAATAATCAGATTTAATAATAAAATGATAATAATTAGTCTCATACGAAGTTTTAATTAATTTACTTTTATTTTTTGTTTGTTCATTCTATGCAAATCTTTTTTTAACCTTTTATGTTTGATGAATTTTTACGCATAATTATAGTAAATATGAATTTATGAACTTTTATGATCAATTGAAAAAAAATGAAAAATGCTATTAATGTGTCCACCCTAAAGTATTTTTCTGGCTCCGCCTCTGGTGGGATTTTATTTTTGTGTGGGATGTGTTGTGAGCGATTGGATTAAGTTTGATGAATTTAGATGAAATTTAGATTATTTAATTTAAAATAAATTCAATCTGAGTTGTTCTTGTGTTTTTTAAATTTAAGATAGAGACGTATGAGAGATAAGAATGTAGAGTTTTACGATAAGAGGCTTCTTCATGGGCAGGAAAAGAAATTCAGGACTAACTGTACACTGTTAGATCAAAATTTTTGAGATAATTTGAACTGTCTTTTATGTTGGGATTACGTTGTCCGTTGGATATATATATAATAACATTAAAAATAAAAAATAATAACATTCAAATATAAAAAAAATATCATTTGGACACAAAAAATAATATATTTAAACACTAAAAAAGTAGTAACATTTAAACATAAAAAAATTAAAATATTCAATATTAATATTTAAAAAAATACCAATAGTAACATATTCAACAAAAATAGTAACATAATTAACAAAAACTGTAACATACTTAACAACTATTATTTCTCTCAAATTCAAAACTCAAAAAATAGTAAAATTAAAATAAAAAAAATAGTAATATTTAAAAAAAATAGTAACATTGAATATTAATATTTAAGAAAATAATAGTAGTAACATGTTCAACAAAAATAGTAACATGCTTAAAAATAATAGTACATGAACTGTAACATACTCAATAAAAGCAGTAGCATGAACAGTAACATAATAAAAAAAATAGTAACATGAATTTGAATTTTACTATTAAAATTCATAATAACTTTTTTTTTATTTGAATGTTACTATATATATATATATATATATATATATATATATATATATATATATATACTAGTTATTGTATGTGTCTGAAGGCACGGTGTAATAAAAAATAATAAACAATAAACATATTTGTATTCGTATCCAAAATCAAATCACAAATATAAAAAAAAAAAAAAGATAAAAGAATTTAAGCATCAATTTGTAACGGGGTGAAAGGTGGTGGGCGGTAGTAGTGGTGGTGATAGGAGACGGTGATGAGTGCGGTGGTGACAGTGGCGGTGGGGGTGGCGGTGACGGTGGTTGTGGGGGTGGTGACAGCGACAGGGGGTGGTGGCGGCGGCAGTGGTGGGGGTGGGGGTAGCAGCGGTGGTAGTGGTGGAGCGGTTTCAAACACTATTAGTTTTTTTAAAGTACTTATGAAAAATAATATGTGAAAGCACTTTTAAAAAATCACTCCAAACACACCCTTAGGGGCCTATTTTTCCTATTAAATTTAGGGTGTTAATATTAACCGTTAGATTAACTTTAAAATAAAATTTAAAGCGATCTCAACCGCGAATAGCAAAAGTCATTTTGTTTATCTTTTGAGATTTGAATTGTAAACTACTTTATTGTGTATATATATATATATATATATATGAGAGAGGAAAAATTTTAATGTTAATCAAATTCTTAACCTATATATGGATATAGATAAATATGAGAGAGAAATAATTAACTTCCTTTCAAAAAATGATATTTTTGAGATAAAAAAAAAAAGTGAACTTAAGTCATTACATATAATTTTAAACATGGACTTAGCCTCTTATAAGTTTCCCTACATGGCTTATCTCCAAACAAGTACATCTAGGTTGACTTACTTCCAATTTTCACTTTTTTTTTATATGTTTAGGTGGATTGTGATAGGTCAAATATTTGATTTTTTAATAAGTTTGGATAGATAATAGTGAATTCAATTTTTTTTTTTAAATGAACTTAATTGTTTAATTATTTTGGATAAATAATGTGGGTCTAATATAAATGAGGGGCACACATAATATATATGTATAAATTTATAATACATATATCTAACTAATAGAAAAAAAACTGAGGGGGGCACGTGCCCACCCTGGCCCCTACCTCCCTCCGCCTATGCGTACCGACGTTTATAAGTTTTGTAAGATTTTTTTTAAAGAAAATTTTAGGATTATTTTTAATTAGGGTAACTCATACCTGAAAATACGGTGTAACGTAAATTAACCGACTAATTTAAAGAAGTAAATAGTGAAAATCTCATAGAAAAAGAGAGAGAAGAGTGAGGAGAGAAAAATGAAATTTAATATAAATAATTTTGAGAGAAATTTTGATAGCCATTGAATGAGTCTATTTGAGACTGTCGGATGAGTTTATTAAAACCTATCATATTTTATATTATAGATTTTCTAAAGTCACTTACAATTTTTATGAATTATTTATGACTTTTGAGAATTATCGATAACTTTTGAGGATTATTGATAACTTTTGAGGGTCACTTATGATTGATCCTAAAAAATTTAAGACCAATCACAAGTAACCTTTAAACGGTATAAATAACTCCATAAAAATTGTTATAAATAACTATAATATTAAAATTTATAAAAAAAAATTATCATAAGCAAATTCAAAAACTTATATTTCAATTCAAAAAAATTATAAAATTTGACGATACAATATTAAATTTTTATTGTTGGTACCGTAATGTTGTCCTTGACTTTTGATGCTCTGGATACTTGTTGAAAAAAAAAAAAAGACTTAATCCTATGGAATCTGGACTCCTGCTCGAACACTACAAAACAAATTCGTCTATTAGAGATTATGGGGGCCCACCATTGAAACTAACCACGTGGCATCATGGGTTGTGATCGAACAATGGTACCGAGTGTCCATTGTTTATGGCCAAGCATACAATAGCATCTGTATTAGCCTCTATATTTTAACTTTATAATCAGGCTGCATGTGATTAATTGAGCTAGCTATTCGATTGTTAAAAATATATATTATTGTAGATATTTTAGAGTAAAGCATCTAATTTAATGGGAAAAAAATCATTGCTTAATGGTGATGATGCACAAAATAGGTTATGTACAATTAAATCAGTCGAATGTATGATGAAAGATAATTAATGAATCAATTAATAATAAAAGACAAAGATTGGGTGGGTTGGGCCTAGGTGACCTAACCACTAAAAGTAACGACGGTGGCCAAAAAATTTTATTAATGAAAGAATAAAGTAGTAGTGATGTGTGTGAGAGAGAAAAAAAGAGTAAGCTCAAGGTATGGTACGTGAGAGATACCCCCATGTGTAAGGGGCTTACAATTTATAGGCGTAGAGTCCTAGTTGAGGCAGTATCATGATAGTCAAGGTACTAGTTTACCAAGGAGGATAGCTACTATTGGAGATAGGCACTATCTTAGAGTCATGGCTATTCCGATGATTGTTCTCCCATACACGTTAATTCTTCTTGGACACTTGAGCTTTGTATCGGACCGAAATCATGAACTAAGTCTGGTTTGCCTTTTGATGGTTTGGGCTCAACCCATGGATTGGGCCTAAACTTGGTCTGATTTTAGGCTCGTCATTTGCCCCCATGCCCCAAGCACTTACGATGACAAGAGGTTGAGGGCATAAGTGAGCTCTTCTTGTAGGCAGACCGGTTATCTTGTTCTTCACGATAGTTTCTTAAGCTTTTCACTCCATTCCATTCTCAAAACTTCCCTTTTCATCTGGGAACACCATGGTTGGGCAATCATTATTTTAGCACCCATTCCCATCTACTGGGTCAAATCTAGTAGCAAAAATCCCCTATCCTATTTAGGGCATCATTCTTAGGACCTTGGAGGCCAGTATATATATAGACCTAGGAAGTAACTGTCCACATTTCCATCCCTTTTCATTGCCTTCCTTCTTCATGGACTGAGCTCAGCACTCTTCTTCTCTACTTCTCATAGACTATTGGGAGAAAGGCTCACAAAGATGGAGATCAGATGGAGTTTGGATGACGTTGTAGGTAATGCCACAAAGGGGTTACAGGCGAAATCAAGGTGCCATGGCAAACCTAGGCGTTCGCAATGCCTTGGGGAGGCTAGGCAAAGCTCGAGGCGCCATGGGGGCAGCGCCAACCACCATGGGCAACGCCAGTCAAGGCGCTGGTCTACAAGGTGCCAGTGGAGGAGGATTTGTGGGCATTGGCTCTCGTATCATATAGGGCGGCACCAAAGGCGGAGGAGGCACCCTTGTGCCCTTGGTGTGGCAGGTGATGCTGACATTGGCCTAAGCAAGGCCTTTCTCGTGACTGTAGGCGACACGGATGGAGTCCTGGGTGGCAACGCCAATAGAGTCCTGGATGGTGCCCTTTGCACGGGTGGAGGTGACGCCGATGGAGTCCAAGGCGGTGCCCTTCGCGTAGTTGGAGGCGATGCTGACGCTGGCCTGGACAGTGCCCTCCACACGAAGGGAGGTGACACCGATGGAGATCTAAGTGGCGCCGCAGCTAGAAATGATTCAAGGGGCTTGGGCAATGCAGGCAATGTGGACAACACCCTTGGCGTGGCTGGAGGAGGTATGTACGACATCGGGGAGAAAACTGATGGCACTAATACACGCATAGGCACTGATGCTCGCACAGGCAAACTGCTTGGTGACAGTTCTGGCTCTAGGGGCAGCTATCCAATGTCCATAGTGGGTACCGAGCAAGAGCGTTAAATTGCAAAGATAGTGTCTTGGGCTTTGCCAGGGAGAGGGAGTGTGACACCTTGCGGCTAGGTAAGGCGATCTTGATCTTGCCTGCCCCTTATCTATTTTGTCCTCTTTCTTGACATTGGGTCTTCCTATTGTAGTTGCTCAACCTGACAAGGGTTTGATGACAACCTCTACATAAACATCCTAGCGAGTCAAGGGCATTGCTGACACTGACAGTTCAAAGTTAACTTTGATTTTCAGTTCCATAGATTGTGATAGTAGTATAGCCAACATGGTGTCGTCCTTGCATATTCCTCCCACTATTTTATGCTACCAAACCGAGGAGGATGAGTCAGCGTGCTTTGACTCCTCTGGAGAGATTATTTTCTATGAGGATGTCTTGGAGGTAGGATTGAGGTTTTCCATGTCCAGACCCATTTGTCTAATTATGGGTTACTTGTCGCTTACCCGGGAGAGGTTAATCCCGAATGGATGAAGCGTAATTTTAGTGTTCTTTTCACTATGGTGGTTGGTTCATGATGAGAATGTTTTCTCCCTTTCAAGGAGTTTTTGGCTTTGTATGTGCTTTTGAAAAATCCTACTCCTCATCAAGGATGGTACCATTTTGCTTCGCGGTTGGGCAAATTGATCACTGGATTAACTTTAAATTGCCACAGTTAGAAGTCTAGGTTTTTCTTCATTGGAGGTGAGTGGGCTACTGAGAAGGACTGTGATTTAGTACCCTTGCAGTGGGATACTCTTCTGAAGACCAAGCTAGGTATGAGTTTTTCCCTTACTTTCATACCTGAAAGTCATATCCCTCTGGCACTTACTACATGTTTGGCTTCCTTTGCAGCTTCACCCGTATTATCTATGGAGAGAAAGAGTAGGCTTTAGGCTATGAGGGATCATCCCACCAAGCAATTTGCAGCCCTAATGTGAGCATCGGGTCACTCTAGAGCCCCCCCTAGACAGAAGAGGGAAGGTATATGATCCCTTCAATAAATTTGATGAAGCTTGTAAATTCTCCTTCTTATGCAAGTTCTACAGGTACTATTGTTAATAGAGCGATGGTGGAGGCTCTCTATGCTTCTACGGTATCTTCCCCTCCTCCTCAGAGGGCAAAGCCTAATGCCCCCAGTGTTTCTCGATCAAGGCTTGATGGCCATGCTATTTCCTGAGAGGTGAGATTTGGTGGTGCCCCCATTCCTTCTTAGCATGCGGCCCCTTTGAGTGTAGGAGTTAGCCCTACTACTATTTAAGGAGCTGAGACTCGTGTGAGGTCCTCTATAAGGGTTGGAGCTTCACATAATTGTCCTGCTTCCAGCAGTGACTCAATGTCCATGATACATATGTAAATCTAGCCAAGGAGTGGCTTTGGAATTTTGTGATGGCTGTGGATATTAGAGAGGTCGACTCTTGAGGTCCAAATGGAATTATACATACCACGCTAGAGGGATTCGTTGGGGTATACTTTTCTTCTGGTTAGCCTTTTGGCTTCTACACTTCTCCTTTTTTTTTATGTTCTACCTTTTGGATGCTTATAGGTGGCTACTGCCTTTCCCTACCTTTTTTCAAGGACCACAAACTTGGCAAGGCATCAAGGGCTTTGGTAGAAGAGAGACAGACACAAGATGCTGTTGAGGAGCAGTTGAGGTTGGCTCATGAGAGAGCTGCACCTCTTGAAGTCTAGCTTTCGGCGTCTCGTGAGCGGGCTGTCAAGCTAGAGGCTAATAGATTACCTGTGCGAGAGTAAAGTCAGATCTGTGAGCAACCCGTGAGAGGGTCGCAGAAGCTGAGCAAAGCTACGAATAGCTCGGGAGATGGCTGACATGGCAGGGGCTGGCCTGCGAGTAGCTCATGAGAAAGCCACAAGGATAGAAGTTCATTCCATTGAGCTGGAGAGGAGGAGGGAGGCTGCTGAGAGGGCCATTGCAGGTGCTTTTATTGACAACAATGAGGTGTTTAGGGGGAAGGCCTTAGCATCTTTCTCTATTGTTGATTTCTCGGACTTCGTCTTGTATGGGGTACCAGAGACAAATGGTAACAAGAAGAGTTTTAATGAGAGCGGATCGAGGAGCAGTAAGTTATGTTGGGAGTCCGACAACTTTTACTTGTCTACCTTTTTGTTGTTAGGTCTTGCTTTGATTTTTGTAAGTTATTTAAAAACTCCTATGGAATGAAAGAAAGAGAGTTCTAGATAAAATAATCTTTGCAAAGTTTTATTTCATAACTAAAATAATGGATAACAAAATAAATTGACTAAACCAACAAATGACAAATAGCATAAGAGTCATTGACATGTACTCTACTATTGATAATACCTCTTCAGGTGTTCGACATTCCTTGGATGGGCCAAGGCTTTCCCTTCAAAGTGTTGAATTATGTAAGTGTCTAGTCATACAACTTTTGTTACCATGTAAGGTCCTTTCCAATTGGGGCCTATCTTGCTTTCTTAAGAGTCCTTGGTAGACAAGATTACTTTCTTGAGGATTAGGTCCCCCGGCAAAAATGAGCGAATCTTCACCCTCGAGTTGTAATATTTGGTCATGCAACGCTTGTACTCCACTTTACTGACTATTGCCATCTCCCTTTCCTCTTTTACCAAGTCAAAGTTAAAACAAAGATCTTCTTTATTAGTGGTTGGGTCATGGTATTGGACCTTCAAGGTGTGTACCCCCGATCTCGACTAGTATAACCGCCTTTGTTCCATAGGCTACGAAGAATGGGGTCGTACCCATAGGGCTCCTTGGCATTGTCCAGGCCCACAGTACTCTTGGGAGCTCATCCACCCACCGCCCTTTGGTGCTTTCTAGCATGGTATTTAGGTTGTGTAGGATTGTTCTAATAGTGACCTCCGCTTGCCCATTTGCTTGTGGATGGGCTGGGCTAGAATGGGGTTGCTGGATCTGTAAGTCTACACAGAAGCCATTAAGGAGTTTGTTGTCAAACTGCTTATCATTGTCACTTACTATTGCATGAGGTAATCCAAAATGGAATACTATGCTCTTTCAGATTAAATCCTTCACTTTCTGGTCCATTATTCTGGCTAAGAACTCAGCTTCTGCCCACTTTGTGAAGTAGTAAATGGCTACTATCACAAATTTGCAATATGAGTAAGGGGCCTAAGATGTCTATCCCCCACTTAGAGAAAGGTCAAGGGCTAATGATGGTGGTGAGTTCTTCTGGTGGTTGTCTTGGCACTGTTGCAAAACGTTGACATTTGTCGCACTTCTTTACGAATTCACGAGCATTCTTAATCATGCTAGGTGTCACAAGGTCAAATTTCTCACTCAAATTTCTACCTTGTGATGACATTGAGATCCTACACTCAGTCTCAATCATTGCACACAATCGATTATAGAAATCACACAATGGAAAGAATATAGACACAGCAAGTAAACACAACACACACGAGCTTTACAGGCCAATGGCCTAACTTTTTTTTCTCAATAAAGCCTAAAGGAACACTCAGTCAGGATCTACTTACAAAAACGTGTCCGACTCTCTTCTTATGCACTGCAAGCCCCAACATGTCTATTTATAACATTCAAATTGGCGGTTACAAGCCCAACTGCCTAGGCAATTGTATGGCAATTCAAATTTGCCCACAAAGCCACCCCACAGTTTGCTGATGATGGTTCAGATCCACTCCCACATCTATTGGTCATGTTAAGGGGCAGTTGCAACTGTTGGCTGACCCAGCCAGTAACTGCCCTCAATTACTGTGGATGTTGAGTGTACATGCCAGAAACCCTCATGATGTGCACATGTCAGAACCGCCCCTGCATGCCATGCACATGCCAGCAACTATTTGGAACCGCCACCATTTGCAGGGCACATGCCACAACCGTTCGGAACCACCTCACATATTGCGCACTTGCCTTCCTTGTGAGCGCACATCCTTGATTAGCCTTGCCTTCATGCCTAACCATACCCAGCTCATGGCTTAGTCTTCCAATGAGTAGATTCTCTTGTAAAAAGTGTCATGTAAGATGACGTACCTAGACGCTCTCAGTCTCAACTTCTTGGCTTCCAGTAGATTCTCTGGGAGAGTGTCTCCTTTTAGAGAGGCTCGGATAGGTGTCATCTAGTTGATTTTGGAGGATGGACAGTTGACATTGTCCTCCTTTGTTTGGCTCAAACTGGTGACCTTTAAGTGTGGGCCCTATTAATAAATTCGCAGATGTGAATTTGGCTAGGGCATCTTCTATGGCGTTATCCTCTCTAGGCACATGTTGAATCTGGAAGTGATTGAACTTTTTCACTAAAGTCTATACAATTGACAAATACTCTTGTATCATTTTCTCTTTTGCTTCAAAGTCTCTTTTTAACTAATTGACTGTTAGTTGGGAATCATGTAAACCCTGAAATAGATAGCCTTTATTTCAATTGCAAGCTTCAAGCTTGAGATGAGGGCCTCATATTTTGCTTGATTGTTTGATGCCATAAAATGGAGGGATACGACATATTTGAGCAGAGTACCTTGGGGACTAATAACCATCAGCCTTACTTCACCGTCTTCCCTAGTTGAAGATTCATCTTCGTACAACTGCCGGCATGCTACTGCACCAGTGGTAGACACCTGTTTAGGTGTGGCGGCACACTCAGGCAAGAGCGCGATTGGCCAAGATATAGTCGACGAGGGTGGTGAGGATAGCAGAGGAGTAGATGCGAGGGTACTGGGCGTCTCTGGCCTAGGAGTCTAGACGCTAGGAGCCTGGGAGGCTGGCTCTAAGGTGTCTATCCTTGTTGGATAAGGAGTTGAGTTGCTATGTATGGGGCAGGCAAGCGCAGGACACTTCTTCCTGGGCATCCCCATTTAACTAACTATTGGGTAGGCAAGGCAGTTGTATTTATTTAAACAACTGTTCCATATTTAACAATTGTCCATTTAATAGCACTCTATATTTTATAAGCATATTTTAGACTCCACTAGTTTGTGAAACCCAACACCAAATGTGGAGTATCCATTCAATGATGAAATTACAAATTATGATAAAATATGTCTTGAATTACATATGTGACAAATCACTTGACATGTGGTATCTAATAATATATATTTTGTGTCGTGTTCAAGTATTTTGTGGGATCATCATCATTTACTAATCGAATTTTTGAACGATACAATGAGACATGTTTTGCCAACAAAAAATCATTTATTCAATAGTTAAAACCAAAAGAATGGTTGTTAGATGT